CACCTAACTGTGCCACCCTCTCGTTTATTGGAAGACATCGAACATTGTAAAGTCCGAAACGATAAACAATCTCACTCAATAATGCTACTCAATTCTGACTTGAATTAGTCTTTTTCACTTCTTTTTTTGGTTTCTTCTGTGCCATTACAATACCCACATTCAATGCAATCCAGCCTTGTAAGTGTGAGAGAGTTGACTTTTTGTATCAAAGATTAAATGCTGATTGCTGTACGTTTGACTCTTTTTTCCTCTCTCTCTCTCTTTTTCAATATATATAAACCTCTACGTATACACAACCCTGAATTTGCTTTGTAAACCTTCCCTTCCATTCCATTCCATTTCTATTATGAGCTAGAGCCCAAGAACAAGAACACGAACACGAACACGAACACGAAGATCAAGTTCATCAATGATGGGAAGGCATCCATGTTGTGACAAAGTGGGCGTGAAAAAAGGGCCATGGACACCTGAGGAAGATATCATCTTGGTTTCTTACATTCAAGAACATGGGCCTAGCAATTGGCGATGGGTTCCAACAAATACTGGTCAATCCCTTCTTTTCAGCCTAAAGTTTTGATTTTCTGAGTTGGGTTTTTGCATTTAATTCCTGGTGTTAATTTTGTCACCTACCCATTTTCTTGTTGCAATTATGTTCTCAGGTTTGCTGAGATGCAGTAAGAGCTGTAGGCTAAGATGGACCAATTACCTCCGACCCGGTATCAAACGAGGAAACTTCACTGATCATGAAGAGAAAATGATCGTTCATCTCCAAGCTCTTTTGGGTAACAGGTAATCACTACAAATGTTTCGAATCTTCGCTCCGTCGTTGAAATTAACCGCGACGATTTTGTGGGTGTTGTGTAGATGGGCAGCCATAGCGTCGTACCTTCCACAAAGAACAGACAACGACATAAAAAACTACTGGAACACGCACTTGAAAAAGAAGCTGAAAAAGCTGCACTCAGGGTCAGATGGTGGCCAAAGTAGAATCTCAAAAGGGCAGTGGGAAAGAAGGCTTCAAACAGACATACACACAGCCAAAAGAGCCCTTTGTGAAGCGCTTTCCTTACACAAACCAAGCTCGTATGAAACCATGGAAGAATCAAAACCCCAACAATCAACTGCAACTTATGCATCAAGTGCTGAAAATATAGCCAAATTGCTTGAGAATTGGATGAAGAAATCACCAAAATCTTCCACACAAAGTGAAGGATCACAAAGTGGAACGAATTACAACAACTCACCGGAGGTGAATTTGGATGATTCCTTGTTTAATTTCAATGACAATAACAATTCTCCTTCAACCTCTACAACAAATCAAGTTCCTCCTCTTAGTTTCCTGGAGAAGTGGCTGTTTGATGATGGAGCTTTGGCTCATGTTCATGCTGATCACATAATTAGTGTGTCATTAGAAGCTGAAACACGATGAACAAACACGATGAACAAACACTTTTTACAATAAATATCCCTGTGGGAGGGAAGAACAAAAGTGTAAATTAACATGAATTATATGCTCTACACTATATCTATGTATCTATAGATATATATATCTGTATGTGAGAAATAAAAATCATATCTTATAATTTCTCCATCATCTTATATATCACCATAAGTTTTGTCCACTTTAGTCGATTACGTATCACTGTCACCTTCATAATTTTAAAACACGTCTATTAAGGAGAGATTTCTACACTTTTTATAAGAAATATTTTGTTTTCCTTTCCAACTCACAATCCATCCTCGTTGAAGGCCCAATGTTCTCGTTGCCATACCACTTGGTGATTGAATCTGTTACCATTTGTAACAGCGAATTTAGAAGGTTACAATTTCAATTTTGGTGCTTTCCAAAGAAATCTATTTTTCGCTTTTTGCTTTGATCGACTTTGTTTATTTTTTTTTTGTTTGGTATGATTATAAGTTTATCCACCTTTTCAAAAATGAAAAGTCTTACAAATTAAAATTTTTAATGTTTGTCTAGTTTGTTCTTGTGGACCATATGAACACAACTCGATAGTTTGAACGGGTGGGAAATTGGGACCATTGTCTTTACACCATCCCGTCTCATTAACTCAATTCATCGATCTTAGTTTAGTTCAACTGATTTAAGTATATATGGTTCAAAGACGAAAAGTTCACCTCAACCATTAATGTATTAGCAAAAACTCTCATTAAAAATATTACCAAATCTAAAATCACTCTTAGAAGTAACTAAGTAACAAAACTAATTAAGCTTTGGGTTAGGATTTTGTAAATAATTTCATTTTGGATTAAGGGCATTTTGGTCAATTAATCATCCATTCAATTTAATTATATATTAACTGTAATATTGGAGTACCGGTATCCATATTCGGCCCATTCAGCTCATTGAATTGGGCTTCACATTGCCAACAATTAGTCTCACTTGGCCCACACTCTCCACTCTTACCTATTTTCTAATTAATTATTTTATTTATTATCTACCTTATATTTTTAATTATATATTTAATATTTGTGAGATTTTCAATGTTATTCTATATCAATAATATGTGAATAAACTCTTGATATAGGATCAACACAAGGGAAGGCATTTACCATTCGTTGGTTATTAGTCGCATCCCGAAAACGTCAGAGTTGAAATATGCCTTTCGAATTAGTGGATGCTGACTGATAGGATGGTCAAGGCAAATAGAGCTTTTGTACGTATACATGAACAAGATTTATATAGATATATAGGCTCATGGATCCATATATCTTGATCGGAAAAGAATCGATGTAAAAATAAAGAATTGAAATTGATCAATATATTCTCGAAACAAAAGACGAAACATAAATCATGGATCAACTAAGTCAAGCTCTCCCCAAAGCTTGCTTAAGAATAAGAAAGAGAAATATTTGTACGGTTATTTGTCGCATCATATTTTTACCTTCAATTAACAAATAACCTAACAAAGATGTTATTTTGAAATTTTTAAAAAACTTAAAAGGTAAAAAAAAAAAAACAGAACTTTCCCTAAAATTTAAGGGCATAGCACATCCACTATTCTGACCGTTCAAAACCAAACATTCATCGGATAATAGAAATCTACACTTTAAAACGACAAAACTTTTAAAAGTTTAGAGACATAATAGAAGTTTGTCGTAAACATTTTGATCGGATGTTTATCCAATGAAAGATAAGATTTATGGATTTTGTAGTTTTCATTAACCAAACATATGTGAAGTTGAAGCATGTATGGAAATGAATGGATGAAGACGTGAAAGAAAAAAAAAAAGGACAAAGACAGACAGAGATGGATGTGTACAATGTTAAAAATTGAGAGGAATAGCCTTTTCAAGTCACTGTCTGTCTGTCCCAAACCCCATCACAACACCCAGCTCAACTTTGTCATTTTTAGCTTATACTCTTTATAACTTTGCTACCCATTCCCTTTTCTTTTCTAACCCTCCAAACAAACAAAAACTTCGCTACAAATCCATTTCCGTTCTTAGCTAACTGAGTTATATATACGTTCATATAGTTTTATACACACCTATAGATTCGTTCTTTCGATTTATAACAACTTTGATACTAATTTCTAATTCGAAGAAGGATCAGACACATTCTTATCAAATTCATTTCGTATCATTGGTGATGACAAACAGTAAAGGGTTTGGATATCAAATCACAATGAAGTTGATATGTGGATACCAAAGTTCAATGAATTTGAGGGTTTGAGTGAAATCTGAAAATGGTTGAATACAACAAGCAATGCACATGCAAATGTTTGAATCTTTGGTTTCAAAATTTGTTCTTATGACTTGACAGAATTGATTAATCATATGCTTAGCTGCTAAATGAAAAAACAATATTTGGTAATCCAAGCTTGTTTTTGTTGATTTAATCACTCACTTCAATATCTAATCATCCAAAACACTCAAAAAATGAATTGTACTCCAAGGCCTTCAAATCAAAGGATGAATGTTGAAAAATGACACTCAACTTTAACCAATTATTCACCATTGGCAGCCAAGAAGAAAGCAAAAGCTCCACATGTATGGTATTACAAAAATGCCAACATTATCATAAACAACAAACTAACCCACAGCACCACAGCTATAGGGAGAGATCTAAATAGGGTTCTTCAAAATTAGGTCAGCTTCTACTAAAGAATACACGGCTATTGTATTTCAAAGCTGTGTGATGTGATTGGATATCTGTGGGCCTCCTTGTAGGAGTGATATAATAATATTTCTTTTCACTAATGATTGCTTCAAAGATAAGGCAACTTCTATTTATATGAGGTCATGGTTTGATCTATGCTGGCCCCGGCCATCAATTTTTAACTAATTTACACATCACTAAATGGGGTTTTGTGTTGATTAAGTAGTTAACCAAGATGAATCAAGTTCAAAATTATTGATACTCGTCTCTGCAAATCCTCTAAATATGATACCCATTTTCCCAAACAACAAACAGAATCAAAATAACAAGGGGAAAGGGTCAAGAAATTAGTTCTTGACAATACACCACTCAGCTGCAGTGTTTTACTTTTCCTTTTGTCTGTTCTTTTGAATCACCAATAGTCATTTCTATTCAAAGAAGAGACTTTACGGAAACGAAAAGGAAAATGTAACGGCCCAAGTCCACTGCTAATACCAAATATTGTCTTCTTTAGGTTTTTCCATCCACACCATTATAAAGACTATTTCGTTCTCCTCCCCCATCAATGTGGGATATCACAATCCACCCATCTTCAAGGCTCAACGTCCTCGCTGGCACTCATTCTTATGTCAGACCCCCACCAAATCCACTCCCTTTAAAGCCTAGCGTCCTGACTGGCACACCACCTCGTGTCTATCCTTAGAGAAACAGCCACCTTGCTGACACATCACCCAGTGTCCCCATTCCACCGCTAGCACTTATTGTCATTTTTGGGTTTTCCCTTGAGGGGAACTTTAAAACATGTCTACTACTGAAAGGTTTTCACACCTTTATAAAGGGTGTTTCGTTCTTCTCCCCAACCATGAAAGAAGAAGAAGAAGAAGAAAAAAAAAAGCAAATCAATACACAATTTAATTACAAATCTCTTATGTTTCAAACCACAATCATTCTTAGTGACATCAATATATATGAATATGAATTATGAAAAGGGTGTTGTTATATATAATTTTGGATGTTTTCAAGCATTTGGAGGAAAGTATTCACAAACCACTTCAGTTTCAACTTCTCTTCTATGGAAGTTCCTGTGGCAGCCACAAGCAGCACAAGTAAGAGCTCCATTAGAGCCTTCTTCTCCATTTGCAAGGAATTCTGTGCATCCATCAACAGCATATCCACCAATATTGGCAGCATGATTCTTTTGGCACTCTCCATATCTAACCAAGCTTCTCACAGCTGATGATGATGTGCTGCTGCTGCTGTTCCTATTTGATGATCCATCTGTTCTTTTCACAATCACTTGGCGTTTCTTCATCATGGTGATGAGGGAGTTTTAAGAACAACAAATAAGGAACCCTAGCTTTGTGAGATGAAGAGATGAAATGGGTTTCACTCATTCAAATCTATAAAAGAAAGTGGGAGAGGAAGAATCCAGATTCTTTTTGACTCACTACAATTATGCCCTTTATCTCTCCATTTTTGGTGCCCTAAGTGTATTAATCCTAAACCCTAGCCATGCTAGACAGCTTTTATTTATAGGGCTTTGCTAAATAGTAGTGCCAAACCAATAGGAGAGAATATGTTTCTAACCTACAAATAATGGATGCTTAATAGTTCCTATATGGTTCCTGATATCATGATTGGGAGAGAAGTACGTACAAACAGTTGAAGATCACTGCTGATAAATATTGTCTACTTTGACTTGTTGTGTATCGTCGTTAGCCTCATGATTTTAAAACACATCTACTAAGGAGAGGTTTTCATACTGTTATAAGAAATGTTTTGTTCCTCTCTCCACCCGATGTGGGATCTAACAATCCACTCCCCTTGGGAGCCCATCGTCCTTGCTGGTACACCGTTAGGTGCCTGACTCTAATACCACTTATAATAGTTATCACTGCTAATAGATATTGTTCGCTTTGTCCTGTGACGTATCACCTTCAGCTTCATGGTTTTAAAATGCATCTGCTAAGAAGTGGTTTTCACACCCTTATAAAAAATGTTTCGTTTCCATCTCTCACCGATATGGAATTTTAAAGAACAACTTTTAAAAGACTTTTAATGTGTGAAGTGATCCAGATATTAATATGTTACTCTCCCCCAAGTTTCTTCCATCAATAATTTTAATTTTAAAAGGGTCAAAATTAGAGTGAAAGTCTTTCTTATGTGTTGATAAGATGAACAGAGAAAGAGAATTTGTTCCAATCTTTTCTTCAATAGTATGATAATATCGTTCCGTTAACGATTAACCACACGTATTTGTGGTAAAGTTTTATCTTTTACTTATATACGCATGATCTTATCCCGTTTTGAAGAACGTGAGACTATGTTTGCATGCCGAAAAGAAAAGAATCTAAGAACAAATGTTGGAAGACAAAGATTGACACTCAAATTCATCTTGTCCACCAATACCCACCAAAAACACAAAGAACAACTTCCACATTACCCTGCTTTCGAATTAATAATTCTTTTTAAAAAAGTATATCAACAAAGCCCCCATTTTTATGCAAAAAAATATTGTTATAAACTACTCGTACTCCATGCTGCTACCTGTTTTTGGGGTCTCTGTCTTTGGATATTATAAAAATTTAACAAATGGGACAATTTACAATCAGCCCATTTATACATATATATATATATATATATATATATTCATATATTCTGTTTTGGGGAAGACATTTCAACAAAATAATTGCAATTCCTCGTGTGTGAAGTACGCCCGTTCTTCTATTTAAATGATGTGAACGATAAGATTGGACTTTCAATCCCACCTTTGTTTCTCATTTTTGACATGGTATTAGAACATCATTCATGGTATCAAAATATCATTTTTATAACCCCGTCTTTAACCCATTAACGAAAAAAAAAATAAAAAAGATAAGGTAATTCCATTTCGATAAAAGACCCACAGCCAAGTTTCATAGTTTTGGGTCCGCTATCCCGATCATGATTTTCCTCTCTTAGAGGGAAAAGTCCTTCCCTTTTTGGCCGGTTGTGGGCGAGGAAGAATTCGAACCCTCAACACCATGATTCGTAGCCACGTGCAAATCAAGGCTTGGGTTTGATTCATTCTTGGAAAGTAACCATTTTTTGGTTGTGTGTGTGGCCCATTTCCAACAGTTGTTTGCAGCTCAAAATGATTCCCCCAACTTTCTACCCTGGCCCTGAATTTTGCATCAAATCAAACACTTACACTCATTCGATGAAACAAAGTTTGGCCAATTCGCTACAATCATTTATGAGCTTAAAATAGGAAAAAAAGAAAAGAAAAGAAAAGAAAAAGGAAATTGTGGGTTTGGTTGGTGTGGATTTCATACATGTATTCAAAGCTAAACCTTAAAAGAGTGTATGAATGATAAGAATGATTGGGTGTTCATGGTAGGTTTGCACGTACGAGCGTAGATATTTGAAAATTGTGGGTTTGTGTGTGGGAAAATGAATGTGTAAATGTAGGGATTTGATAGTGAAAGAAGTGGGTTTGTTCAAATCAACTATGAATACGTCTCTTTAATTTCCCACTCTCCACCATGGAGCCGTATGCATCCAAAGTCAGGCTTTGTTTCTTTTCAATGGGCGGCAATATGTGCTTATTTGATACCCTTTTTAAAAGTGAAGTGGGACAATTTCACATGCTTGTCAATCAAACCCTTTGTCAACGCAAAATTCTAATTAATCTAATTTGCATCGTTTAGCTGATTAAGACGTACACGAATTCGACATTTTTCTACATCTCCTCAGGCGATTACTCAGAGTGAAAATTTGTATTCGAATGAAAAGAGACCAGAAAGGAAGATGGAGAGAAGTTTAAGGTAAAAAGCTGTGTTGTTGTCCTTGTTGTTTGTGAAGATGAATTGTGAAACATTCACCAGTTTCTCATTTGGAGTGTGGGTGCAGGCTGCAATGTCCGTGGCTTGCTTTGTTGCCCTTTTATTCATTTGCCTTTTAGAAACAAAAAGAAGAACACGTACAGATCCATTCTTGATTTGCAGCAAAAAGGGAAGTTTTCTCCAACACTCCCATTTCTTTCTTTCACATAAGACACGGCCCCCAGTTTGTGTGGTAACATAACAACATTAGGCTAGAGATGTCCACGGAGTGGACCGAGGACGAGAAGCCTTCTCGGTCTCCGTCCCACCTCCTATTTCAATCTCTATTTCAATAAAATTCTTCATTTATTTTTTTGTGGGATCGAAGTAAAGATTTCCGGTCAAAAACTCATGGGGATTGATTTCCTAACAGGAAGGGGATAGATAATCTAATCTTCATCCCCAGTTAACTAGTATGGAGAAATCTCAACGGGGAGATTGCCTAAGCGGTTGTTGTGCAATCCTAATACATTTTTCATTTAAATAGGGATTCTTGACCTTGTCCCGGTGAATCCTCTTGTGTCCGAGCCCGGTAGATTAAATGGACTCATCTCTTTTCGTTTTTCATTTAATTGGGAGAGGTTGCAAAGGGGTCCCCAAGGAAGATCATTGCATGCATCTGGTGGTTTGATGAAATAGATGGAGGAGGCCCGAGTTTGGGCATAAAATGGCATCAATCAACGGAGAATCTGTGGTTTGGTCGGGTTTGGTAAAAGAGAATAAGATTGTCGTGATGATGGGCTCATATTTGTGGGCTCAAAATGGGTGGACATTCTGGCATTCTAACCAACCCCTCCTTGCTTCCACATTTGAGAGGACAAAGCAACCACCCACTAATCATACTCTTCTTCTCTTTTCTTTTAGGCCCCTCAACGACAAAGTTAGAGACGACATTCTTTACCCTTTCTCTTCTTTTCTCTCTTTCTTTACTTCAATATGTGTTTAAGGGCGTGCTGAATTTGGGAAGCCCATCCATTCCATTTAATGCCCATTTATAAGCGTTGTGTGTACTCTTGTCGCTCTTAAAATAAAATAATATAGTACTTCAGAGGTAGGTCGTATATACCTACGATTCTTACCAATTTAGATGTAAACCCGACAATAAGATCTAACGATACTCATATCAGCCAAACTTAGTAATGTGCTCTAAATTTTATTCACAAAGTGGCGCGTGAAGCGTGCGTAAAGAATGATTTGAGATGCAAAATGTGGCATTATTGTCTAAAACAGACAAAATTATTGAACCAACCGCAATTATCCTATCTATATTCTCTCTTGGGCCTAATGGGCTTTGTTAAAAACAAGACTTTAGGCCCAAAATTATCCACATTTTCTCTACAAATAAATTATTATAAAAAGAAATTCATATTTAATTTAACTAACACCTTTACAACATGCAAAAGATACCTTACTTCATTTTTCACTCTCTTTAATACTTTTTCATTTCGGTATGCGTAAATAGGTCAGTCCAACGATCAATAACTCTTACCATTGATCAGGGGTTCCACGGAGTTTAGCAGACTAATGGGCGACATACCCTCCCCACCTGTTCACAATCCAACTACAAGTTTACGTAAGGTCTAATCATTGTTAGAGTTCGTTTGTTGAACTAATGATTCCTACATCGTGTCCCCACGGTATTTTCAATGCATATTACATGCTATGATAGGCTCATAAGCATAAACTAGAGACATTCAATATGTATAGTAATTGTGAATCCCTAACACGCTCGTATTCTACTCATGCAAACATATGCATCAATAACCAAGACAAGTTACTAACGTTCAATCAATGTAACTATATTTCTAATCACAAAACTGACATGTTTGACATTGTATACATTATTGGTATCGATACCGATTATCAATACTGAGATTGATATAAGGATGGAAGTTTAGTTGTTTACCACTAAATTTATTTATTTAGTTATGAAGTATACACGCCCTTAAATCAAAATTGAATTCATTGGCATTTTATATGATACGTAATTTAAAAATAAATCGTTTAATTGACATTAAAAAAAAATAAAAAATAAAGAAGAAATTAAGATGCTTAATAACAGCAAAGCAAGTCATGCATTTCATCTTTATGCGCATGAAATCCACACTAGAGAGGAGAAGGTTGGGAGAGTTTTTCTCGTGCCCTTTTTATTTATTATTATTTTTTTTTTTTTTGAAAAAATTTATAATAAAATAAAAACCCCACAAGAAAAGCTTTATCCAACTCTTCCTTACCATTTTTGTTATTTATTTATAAGTTTAATATTTAATTAATTATTTATTTATTGAGAGTATCAAAAATTGTTTTTAATTAAGCTGGCATGAGCATTAATTAGGTATTAATTAATAACCACACAATAAATAGAGAGGCGATTTGTTTTCCGCTTAAAAGCAACCAGAAAATATTGAACAATAACTGGTCAAACCGTATAAAGTGGGATTCTTTTATTTCAAAGCTGTTTGTTCTATAATTCGCCGTAGAAATTCATGACCCTTCTTCTTCCAATTCATCGTTCATCATTAATGCCTCACAACCCAGATGCTTTTTCATGGAGGAGAATCAATCGCCTTCAATCCAACCTACTCCGATTTGTAAGCTTTCGATTCATCTATTTCTTTCTTCCCAACTCCACAACTTGAACATTCTGGGTTCTTCTCAGTTTATTATACCCATTTCAATGTCCATTGCAAAATGAGGAATGCCGGCCCGTTTCGTTCTTGAGTTTTGGGTATTGGATTTTTTTTAGTGGGTTCCTGAGAAATCCTTTGTTAGATGCGAAACTGGGGTTCCGTCAATCTTCGTAATCCTCGAAACTTGGATTCAAAGCTTCTGAATCAAACCTCCTCTGTTTCGATGTTCCGGTATTGAATTTATAGCTTGTTTTGAGAATTGCAATGGCGGATTGGTGTATTTTCTGATTCTCTGAATTCTACGGACTTGGTCTTCAGCAATGTCGGAGAAACGCATGCTAGCGACTAGGTTGTTTTTGTATTTGATAACAATTTCTGTGTTCCTTCTAATCCTTTCTTCTGTGTTCACCCTCCAATCCAACTACAATTCTTTCTTCCCCACTTCAGTGCTCAAGCTCATTGTTGTTAATAATCATACTTCAAATCACATAAAACCCAATGTAGAGATTGAACCAATTGTACCAATGGAACATCCTCCACGAGATGTACCACCTCCACCAGAGGAACCCGAAGAAGCCATTAGAGCTAGGGGTGTTGATCGGCCACTTCCTAACAACAGCAAGGATGAAGATTCTGTAGAAACTCGCACAGATTTAGCCTGTGATCCTGCAAAGGCTCGTTTGAGAGTGTACATGTATGATCTTCCACCTTTATTTCACTTTGGATTATTGGGATGGAAGGGAGATAAGGGTCAAATTTGGCCTGATGTCTCTAATAGAACTCAAATCCCATCATACCCTGGTGGGCTGAATCTTCAGCACAGTATGGAATACTGGCTTACACTTGATCTTTTATCTTCGAATGTCCCAAATATTAAACATACTTGCACAGCAGTTAGGGTGAAGAGTCCAAGTCAAGCAGATGTGATTTTTGTGCCCTTTTTCTCATCCTTGAGTTACAATCAACATTCTAAGTTGCATGGGAGGGATAAGATTAATGTGAACAAGATATTACAGCATAAGTTGATGCATTTTTTGTTTGGGCGGAAGGAGTGGAGGCGAGTGGGTGGAAGGGATCATCTCATAATTGCTCACCATCCGAATAGCATGTTGGATTCGAGAAAGAAACTCCACTCGGCCATGTTTGTGCTTGCAGATTTTGGAAGGTACCCAGCTGCAGTTGCAAATATTGAAAAGGATATCATTGCCCCTTACAGACATGTGGTGAAGACGGTTCCACCTAACGATTCTCCCACATTTGATGAGCGTCCAACTTTGGTGTATTTTCAAGGAGCTATATACAGGAAGGATGTAAGTCTTTCTGTCACATCGAAAAACCTACTGATATGTCCTATTTTTCTGGCGTTCAAGCTACTTTATGCCTAAATTATGATATGTATTGCTGTTTCATGTCATTGCCTAAATCCCTTTGTTGGTTGATGGGAAATGCATAGGATACAATTTGTATATGATCGACTCGTAAATATCATTTTGCTATTACAAATATTTCGAACTGATGGAGAAGGCATGTTGTATAAACTTGATATGTATAAAATGGTTAGAGCAAGGCCATGAACTATCCATTTTCCCTGTGTATTTATTCAACCAACCTATGATCGATCCATTTATTCTTTCAACTTATTATCAATCAACCATGTTTTAGGTTCTCAGTGCGAGAGATCTTGGAACATGCCCTGTGTACGCATACAAATAGGGGCACAGTTCGCCTACTACTACCTTAAGTAAAGGTGGAGAGTGGATTCTAGATTATATCAGTCGACCCAAACTGGGGTTCTGGAAAAATCTCGTCGAATTCTCTTGCAAAGAGACATGGTTGAAAATTCTTCTTGATAAGGCCCAGTTGGCTGATATAATGGAATGGATCACTCCTGTTATATCCTTTGTTAGAGAAAATTATGTAAAGAACTTCTTTGTTTCATAGTTCATGTACCAATAAACATCAAATTGCATTTGCTCTGCTTTTTAGTGACCATGTGTTCTTAGAATTATTTGGTAAGGTTTGAAGTTGATTAAAGTTATTCTAATTTTATGTTTGAATTCATTTTCAGGGAGGAGTAGTTCGCCAAGAACTATATTACCTTCTGAAAGACGAGGAAGACGTTCATTTTACTTTTGGAAGTGTTAAGGCGAATGGGATCAACAAGGCAGGCCAAGGAATGGCCTCATCGAAGTTCTGCCTTAACATTGCAGGAGATACCCCATCGTCAAATCGACTTTTTGATTCTATTGCAAGTCATTGTGTTCCTGTTATTATCAGCGATGATATTGAGCTGCCTTATGAAGATGTCCTGGACTACACCGAATTTTGTGTCTTCGTTCGAGCAGTCGATTCTATAAGGGAGGGTTATCTACTGAAACTTCTTCGTGGAATTAGACGAGAAAAGTGGACAGAGATGTGGATGAGAATAATAGAAATTGTGCATGAATTTGAATATCAGCATCCTTCTCAGACTGGTGATGCTGTCGATATGATTTGGCAAGCGGTGTCACGTAAGGTGTCGAAGATAAAATTTAATCGGGATAAGAAGAACAGGTACCGTAGATCTCAACTTTTCCTAAAGAGCAATTGATATTGAATTCAATATATAAATAGGAAGTTTTGTAGTCACTGAGATCTATCATTCACTCTCCATATTGCTGTGTTAATGATAATGTAACTCTTAACTCAAAACAGAGTAGTTTTGAGATTTTAGGCTGTCTAGAAATCTTTACTCGTCTATTCGTTCACCTTTATAGTTCATTGCAGCCTTGGACCGAATCATCTTCAAACTTGTCCTCAGTTTTTGACAGCATGCATTAGCAGAGGTTTTTCTTTTAAAAACACCAGAAGAAGTTACCAAATTGTTAAAGCTGAAGAAATGAAACCAATATTCATGCATAGAACTTGACTAATAGTTGTTAAATCATATGAAATCGTCAACAGACAAGACAAATACAACCAAACTGTTGCTGAATAGATACCTGTTGCATGGGGCGCCACCTATTGTATGACAGTAGAAGCCCTTTTTCTTTCTTTGTTTTACATCCAAATAAAGTTGTTTGTTTTGTTAGAGCTTGAGTTTGTACCCAAAATAGATGCAATCTTCCTATCTATAAGAAACCTACGAACAATCTTTGATGAACTGTCTGGGACTTCATCTTTACATCAACAGGGTTTCCCACCACTCTATTTTTCTTTACGAACATGAAACCTTTTTGTATCTTCTTCCTTTCTTTTGACTCAACATTTGTTGTGAATGGGATCAGATCCTCTTCGAATCCTTCTTTTATTCAATCGTGTAGGATCGAAACCCATCGAAGGTGCAGGTGCGAAAGCCAGTGTTTTCTGCCAATCATCCTTCACAAGCTTGAAGCTGTTGAAAATAGGTATGTTTAGTTTGTCCCATCTGAGTGCTAGAACAATGTTTGGTAGCCCATTGGTTCCTTGTGACTGAAAAGCCAAAATCCCAATACATATAAGTAGCTTGGCCACCCTATGAATCAAAACCCCCATTTATAGTTGAAGCCAGAAGAGGGATGAAAGTATCTGTATTCAGTGAGGAGGGGATGAGGAGGAGGAGAAGGATGCGTCTGTGATATATGCAGAGCCAAAGTTTATGATGGCTCATTGTTGCAAGAAGCCAAGAGTTCCATCCTTTTATGGTATAGGATGACCAAAAAGCAAAAGACATACTTGGGGCCCAGAACATGTAGGGAAATCTTAAGATTCATCTTATGATAAGCCTGCAAAAGAAGCAATATGAAGCTGTTTTAGAACTTTGACAGGTTTGAATTTAAAAGGGAAAAGAAGGAAGGGAATACGGATCTTTCTTATTATTCCAATTCTGGGAAGGCCCTTTTTTACCATACCAAGACTGGCCTCAGTTAGCTGTCGTTCCATGTCACCCGACAACAAATGCCAAACTGAATTATCAAGTTTCAGAACATAATTATAACACATGATAAATGCTTTTACGGTTCAGTTTATGTAGTAAACATTCATATAATCTTGTGAGAATAATAGGACACTAACCCCCTTTACCTTCGTAAAATATCTCTTTTGGGACTGCAAGAGTGAGATCCAGACTGAATAGATGAACACAGAGCAATAAGACAAATGAAAAACCAGAGAGCTTGAAGTAGAAAGAAAAAAGCAAGCATATTTTTCCTGCAATAAAATTTGGTCTTCGGAATCAGTCTTGGGTTCTCATTATATGCTTCAATGAAGCTCTTTTATGCTTTTATCAGTGGTCTCTTCTCTTTTGTTTGCCCCAACCCTCAAGACTGAGACCTAAATCCTTTAGTTTTGCCCTTTTAGAAACTATGAGGACCGACCATCTTTGAACCACCATCCCTCCACAAGCTTAGCTTACGTATTCCTTCAGCTTCCACACTCTACTTTGCTTGCTTAAAACTGCCTCAGAATGGGTCCTTTAATTAAAGATCATCCAAGTTTGCTAAAGTGCACCCCACTACATATTTTATAGCATTATAACTAAGAAAAGCCTGTTCTTCTATCATATTGAATATATTTAAATGGTCTCTCATACAACAAGATTACCCTTCCAACTAAGATAGAATAAAAGATTACTTGGCCATCTATTGTAAAGTCGCAAAGATTCTAATGAAATGGGCATTCCGACTTGAGTAATCATACATTATTAGTTATACAGCAGAACATTTTGAATAAAACAACTCAATTCTGTGGAGTAGCCATCACTGATTCATTGATATCCAGAATTATATACAGACACAACTCAGATATTGAAGATGACAGAATGCAAGAGGCACCAGGTTTAAATGAGAACGAAGAAGAAGCTTAGAGAGAGCTCTAAGCGGCATATAGTAAGAATGACAGTTTACTGATTTTTTAGGGAAAAAAACCAAGGTGAAATACAGTGGAATAAATTTAGCTTGAAGTTAATATATATTATATATATATAATTCCTCTCTGCACTCACTGCATGAAGCAACATCATTATTGGAGTGGCTCTTGATGAGGAGTAACTACAGGCCCTGGTGCGAGAGTAAACTGAAGGCTCTGGCCTTGTGCTGCCTGCAGCATAAATGCAACTTCAGTTGCTGCAAGTGCTGCAGCTTCCTGTACGAGAAGTAAAACATCATACGACAATCAATTCACATTTTTCAGAAACGTTTCAATCACGAAAATACAGAAGATTGCTTAAGTTTATGCAAATGGGAAGCATAGAATCATATTTTCGAGACATACCTGTCTTTGTCTTCGACGCTGTAGTATGCTGATGGCCCATGCCATAATGTAGCAAGGAAGAAGAAACCCAGCAGCTCGCAGTAATAAAAGCTGTCAATGTACATGAAAGTTAACAATGACCAGTACATAACATAATAATCTTGAAGGGAAAAAAATGAATGTCTTACTTACCGAGAAGAAAGTGTAAGCATCATCTTCTCCATCACCATTTGTAAGGTATAGAGCGTGCCTCAACAGTAAAAGAGCCAATAACTGTAAAGTAGCAACAGTGAATCAACATTATGGTGTGAAAACAGTGTCTAATATGGGGAATTAGTTCAAGGTTAAGAGTCATCAGTCTCACAATCAGAGCAGCCGAACGGCAAAATGCTGTTCCATTTGCGCTTGCATCTGCATATTCATCATATTCTGCCTCAAGAAAGTGGCGTTCTGCTGCTGCCATTGCCAAAAGCCGTGGGTCATGCAAATCTAAAGCACTTTCAGAAACTGCCCAACCTTCACTGCAAAACACATTTGAGGTACAGAAAATCAGAGTTTAAATTCAAGAAGCAAAAGCTATGTGTTAAACTAGGTGAACCAAAACTTACCTGATATCAATGGTGGCATCTTCCATGCGAGGCGGTGGTGTGGGCAAGGTATAACCAGGCTGATAATTCTGAAAGCATGTGAATTATAAAATATCAACATATTGATTTGACCTTCAAAGAAAAAAATTTACAGTACTAAGAGAAAAACTTAAGAATCAAAAGTGATTTAATCTTAACAGTAAATGCGCTTCCCCCTTGAGTAAATGAGGGTGAACTTTTTTTCTATTCAAACGAGTTAGCTTAACCTCATTAATGTCTCCCGAAGCATTCTACAACAAGTTTTTATTGTGAAAAAATGTCAGGGATTACAAAATCAGAATAATATCTCCTAATGTATTAAGAAACAACAACCCAACCACCGTCTGCATCGTTTTTCATGAGCCTGTCATGTTCACTAGTTAATACCAACCCCACACCAAATTCAAAGATAGAGCCATTCGTCGCTCATCCAATAAAAAGACCATTTCTTTAAATCAACTTTTTGATGTGACTGGTTGAGACTAATCAGCCAGAAGAATCCCCCTTCAAATTGATGACAACAATAGGTATTCTTCCAGATTTTCTAATGGTGAAGGTACAATTTACCTGATGACAGATTTCACAAGTTATATCGCCCTTTTCATTGCACCATCGCTGGACACATTTCCTGTGAGCATACTGGAATAGGAAAATGAATAGAATCAGAAGAGCATCTAAAACAGAACAAGTTATATCAGTAATAATGATAATAAAAATCAAATTTCTCCAAGGGTCGTGGCACCGAGCTTGACCAAACAACAGACAGAACAAACGCAGCTCAAAGGTGTGGCTCGAAGCGTTGAGAACTACTGCAACCATTAAAACTGGTTTCTTTCCATTACTACTCCCAACTGAGAACTCGTAATACATTGCCATGGCTTTACGTTATCCCATGATTTTGACTAAAGCCAACTAATGCGAAAATACAGAGAAAAGTTATGAATCAAAAATGAATTCTCATTTTATCATGCTCTCTCTTCCCACAATTCAAGACAGGTAAAACTCAAAATGGTGCTCAGAACCAATAAAGACAATCATAATTAACTTCTCTCCATGCCCCTATAAGTCAAACGAGCAAATCCAACCACCTAACTATTCATAACTTCATAACGAGTATGGCCATAAATCTACGAGTCACCAACATATGCTACATTAGCAAAACATACTCTTCTTTTGGTGCCTGTAGACTAGAGAGCCACTTTCATTGAACTACAAGGACCATTGCAATCGGAGTTAGTAAATGGTACCTTCAAGCTGCCACTGCAAGCACAAGGAATCTCCAAATTCTTAATACTATCCTCTTCTTGACATATTCGACATTCAACTGTCTGAATAAGAGGGTCTTCTTCAGACCCTTCATGTTCATCCACATCTTCAACAGCAATAGCACAGACAGATGGCTCTGAATTTTGAGAAGATGAAGATTCCAAAGAAGATCCTGAAGCAGTAGTTCCTTGCAGCGACTGCAAACTTTCAGGCGTAATGAGACGGTCCACACACAAAACCATGTGATCACCCATTCTTGTGCAAAAACAAAAGCCTCCTGCTTCGACAAATCACAAAGATCGCCCTTATTTCACGTCTCAAATAGAAAAAAAAAACAAAGCACAGGAGTTTGAAAATGAAATGGTTGTCTAAAGCAAATAAACCAAAGGAAATTTCACCATAACCTCCATAACAATAGATTGAATTTGGATACGAAGAACTAGAATACATACCTTTAAACGTCTCTCTTGTGTTCGATTTCCCTCAATTCTGCAAAACCCTGGCTACAAAAAAGAACAGCAAGAAAATTTCAAACTCCAAGTAATTGCATTATAAAAGGCAAGCCACATTCTTAAAATCAAGTCCTCCCCCACAAACAAAATATTACATTTTCTGATCAACAACTTTTTGAACTAGATTTTCAAATACTAATATATTCCCCAACC